TATACAGATTTAAATGAGGAAATATCATAGTTTAGCTGATAATTTTTATTGTTTAGCACGGTAAATTTTCAAACAAAGAATAATCGATAGAATTTGGAAGAAAAATTAGAGGATAAACACACACTTTACTTTTTTGTCCTGGAATTTTTCTATTGCATCACGGTAAAATTTCACTTCCTCTCTCATTGCAAGCTCACAGGTGATTAAAGGCCCATAGATATTGATAGATATATTTTAGAAAATTGAGAAAAATTTGTTAAAATTATCATACAGCTTTGTGATAACAAAGGTTCAACGCATGCGTGCACACATTTGTACACGTGCGTCGTAAAAACATACTTTTCATACTTTTCAACGGGGTGTTTAAAAAGAACATTGTGAATACGTAAAATTTTAAAATATCAAAATCGATATGGATATATAGTTCCGTTCCGAGGACGCCTTTAAAAGTGAATTTCTTGTGCTGAAATACCCAAATTTAGTGAATTAGCTCAATTTATACATGTAGTAGAACTTAGATTAATATTTTAAATTTTTAATATTGTCAAGTTCATTTTTTACTTTTATTATTTCATTGGCTATAAATAACTTGTAATTTTTCTACATTTATACATATTTTTGTAATATTAGTTTTAAGTAAGATAAATTAAAAAAATTCTATGTTTATAAAACTTAGATTGTTTATTTAATTTCTCTATCCTATTCAGGTTAGTCAAATTGACCGTGTCAGTACAATAATTTTTCTATTGTTGATCGATAGATTGTATAAGAGTGACATCTTGCGTCCAGTTGACTGTGCTGCACGGTAATTTTCTTGGAGTTTCCAATATTTTTTATTAGAATTTTTCCTCCATGTACCTATCAAGTTATGAAATAATTTTCATTCAGTCGTGTGGAAACTACTGAGTATTTAATTGGACTTTTTAAAAAATAATGTTTGTTTTCTGCAGTTTCACAAGTATCACAAAAAAACTTTACCTAACGAACCCAACCACCACAATTATTTTTGTACAAAAGATCGATAGGGGTAAACCCAGACTAACCGTTTCTCTAGTTAAGTTGATGTACTAACGAAGGCGCTTAGTGAATTGTTTCTCTCCCTTTTACGAAAACTTACTCACACATACTCACACATTTTTCTATTCAGAAAATCGTAGGTTCTTATTCTTCACACTATGAATATTTAGGACTGCAGAGAAATCGAGTGCAGCAACACGAATAACCTCAGTTCAACCGCAATATAAAAAAAAGGAAAAAAAAATCACTGGATCCGATTATTCACTACATATTGAAGTAATAACTTAATTCAAGTTGCTTCATGAAATATAATTTCATTTGGTTTCATTCAATTTGGATGTTCTATTTATTTATGTAGTTATTTAATTGTTTAGAATACTAATCACCAAAATTCATTAGGACACCGGTGCTCTAACTCTTATAATAGTAAGCTAATAAAACTGCAAACAACTCGGAGCCATTACTACTGTTGCACAGGCCTGAGATTGAAACGAGTGAAGTGACTCCAGTACGTGTTGTACTGCTAGGTAAGTAGTGGTAGTCGTTATGCAGTCAGCCAATGAGCTTTATCTTTCGCCTTAACTATTACACATATATCCTACCATTCCTTTTACCCATCCACAAAATTTATTACATTTTTTTCAAGAAGAAATTCTTGGATTGAATAATTAAACTTTACATTTTGCGAAGACCATTTGTCAACTCTAATGGTAACGAATATCAAATTGAATTTTTTTTAAGAAATTTTTCACGAATTATTTTTATCACTTCTTTGCTGTTTTATAAAATTCTCATTTTTTATTACATTTTAATCTGTATTATGGAAATCTTAAATAAATCTAATTTAATTGATTGTTCAAATCAGTTTGAGAATAATTATGTTAATATCATTCGAAACATGAATTGTAAGAAACTTTAGTTGAACATATTTTACGAAGAAAATATTACTAAAATTTGTGAATTTTTACTTCAATTCGTGTATGAGCATTTTAAATGAAATAAATGGGTTTTTCCTGAATGACCTGATGATGATTTCATTATGTCTAAGAGCTTGAGTAAGTGTAATTGCAAATGGAAGGGATGAGTATTGGAAGAGTGAGATTGAAAAAAAGAACGATAATCTTAGAGTGAATGCAGGATGCATCATCGAAAGTTTCTTGATTATTGATTAAAAAATTACTACTAATCCTTCTTTCATTTTAAATAATGAAACCTATAGTTATAAAATTCTTGTTTTGAATCCTATACTATTGATATAGAAGAGACAAATCTATCTCAAGCTGTGAAAAACTGTAAAATACTTTTACGATAATATTCTTCTAACTCCAAGATTTGAGTCTTAAGCAAATCAGTTCTATACTATAAATCTAAGCGTGTTAAGATATCACACTCGACCACAAAATCGACTATTCATGGTACGGAGATCTCATCAGTGGAGTTTAATTGCATTACTTAAGAAGCCGTAGAATAAAATAAAGATGTTACAATCACAAATAGACACCATGGTGAATACAATTACCATCACAGATAAGTCCACTGACATTCTATGATTCCCAAATTCCCAAGAACAGTAATCACTAATTACCTAGCTATTGGTGCGATAAATTTTTTCGGAGATAAAAATTTTTTTTCAATTTTATAAAATTTTTTGTCAAAAATGATCGAGAAAATGATAAAATTTATCTTTTTTCTTTAAATCCTCGATGAACCACATACCCTTTCAAATTTAATAATAGCATTCTAATTGCACCAAACAACTATTTTTTATTCTGATGTTTATTAAATATCAAACTTACAAATCGATGTTGATTCTTAAAGAGTATATGACTTTATAAAGCTCTCAAGTGAACAGTATGAAATGATAATGACAAAATTATTCATAGAACCTTCAATAACTAAGGAGACGAATATCAAATGCTATTATTTTATATGTTTTTATCTACAATAAAACGATGATTGTGTGGATGAGAGCGAAAACTACTTAGTACGAACTTTATCAATTTATTGATCAGTAAAATGCAGTAAAATGGATAATCAGTAAAAATAAAAGATTGGAATATATGAAAATTGTTAAATATTTTTAATAAAACGTTTTCGATATTCAATTTTTTTGAAATTATATTATAAATATAAGATCTTCAAAAAAAATGAATAAAACAATGATTACTGCATGAAAATAAATGTATTATAGTATTTAATTGAATACTATTGATTATTTACTTTGAAATATTAAAATTATTTACGGCCATGAAAATTTTCAATCTATCATGTCACTTTCTATACTAAGAGAAATATATAGTTGAATTTACTATTAATAGTTCAAAAAAGACTCAACTATTTTTTGTAAAATGATTAATTAACACAGGGTTGTAAATCCAATTATGGGACTCAATTCTCTTTTTTTAGAGTGTAAATAAATGTTATTCATTTTTATTTGACTGAATCTTTGTTTTCAACAAATTTTATTATTTATCTCAATGCAGTTTACTTTTTAGATAAAATCTTCTGTAAACTGTACAAAATCATAACATTAACATAAATTAAAATTAAATTGGTCGTAAAATGATATTTTGAGAATGCTGTTGAAGTAAGCATAGTAATTAAAATTGAAAACAACGTTTATTCAGAGAAATAACGTCTCTTACTTATTCTGCATCACTGCACTTTTTATAGTTTATTCATTTTAACAAGTAATAATTGTGTTTTATCGATGAAAATCAATTTTTTGATTCCATGCATAAAATTTAGCAGTCAAAAAAATAAAATTTTGAATTCTTTTAAAAAAAATTCTCAACTGTACACAGAATAATTAATCAATCAGCAAAAGAAACTTTTACATTACAACGACGATGGACCACGATCAAACTTAGTCACTATATCCTTTTTTTCAAGCATCAATCGTTACGATCAGTATCACCGTCATCCTAATGTTTATCGTCAATCGCTGTCACACATATGAAATATCTCACTCCATCACTAATTAACATAATACATTGAATGTTGTTTTCTTTACACTTTTTATCCTATAAAATTATTCATTTCCCATTCCACCAAATTATTCCAACAAAATGTAATGCAAATTTATGAAACAATTTTTTTTTCCTTTATTAAGCGAACTAAAATTCTTTGAACATCTTTTCAAACCCACCGAAAATGGTTTTAAGTAGAATTATTTGAGTTTATTCCAACACTGCACATTTAAAAAAAATACGTAAAAAGTAATTTTATTAAAAACGAGAAAGAAGAAAGTTTGGTCATATTACAAGCAGTATACAGGTCAGGCAAATCAGTGTAAAAATCTAGTACGAAGAGAATCACAAACAAACAGAACAGTGGACATTCGCTAAATTTTCATGTGAAACATGGAGCTAGTCTCAGTAAAATTCCAGTGCACATTTAGCACGAGGACACCGTTAGAATTTGGACAGATGCAATGATATCATTTCCATACAACTGAGTTAAAAAAAAAAGAAGAACCATCAACATCCGTTGTCTATTTGTTATTCTTTTAAAACACTAGATAAGTCTACGGAAATTTTGGCAGCATCTATGTATGTATGTAACTGTTGAATAATTTTGTACTTACGAATACGTGAGAAGGAAATTTAAAAAGATCAGCACAAATACTCTTTGCACTAACCCTAAGAGTATTCTCTCTTATCTCTCGCTCACTCGATCAATCTTCCCTTGTTATTTATCTTAGCGTATAACCGAATCCTACCCGTATACTTGCTTCGAAAAAATCCCTTTATATTCAAGTGAGAGAAAATGTTTCTTACGAGTAAAACAAAAATTTTTTTTCTCATTCATGACTTCGACTACTACTCAAGAGACATAAATCAACAAGAAGCACGTGCAACAATCAGCAAATTTCATCAGCTTAAAATCCAACCTGGCGTTGATAAAAAAATTACTAAAAGTAGTTTCAAATCAAACAATGTCAATAGAACACATTCCGATGTAAACACTGCAATTTCACTTACCAAAGTACAAAATCGTTGGAGCAGAAAATTCATTAATTTCTATTAAAGTCACAAAATAACCGAAATCTGAATGTTTTCATATTCAAAATTAATTTTAGAAAGTTGTTATGATTGTTGAAAAAAAGTAACACCGGGGCATATTTATCACCAAATTCACTCAGAAAAAACTCAATGAACTCCAAAAATAAACATAACTATCAACACCATCAACTAAAATTCATCAATCAAATCAGGTAGTGATTAAGTTCAATGAAAATGATGATCACAAAAGTTGTTGTAATATTTAGCAGAACATATGATAACCGAATCGCAACTTGTTCTCTCAGAGCGTCGCGGAAGAGAACTGGACCGACATCACAGAGGCTGCGGCCACGACAGGCACTGCTCCGACGCAGAAATGCTGGCGCTTTTCTCCTTTCCCTTTGACTCCTCTTGCCTACAAGATGCACCACCCTCGATTCCAGCTCTCCCTCCAGCTTCCATCAACTGTTTCCCCACTACTATCGATCCTTGCATCGGGTGGCACCCATGTTCTACTTGCTCCAGCCAAGCTGATTTCAACTGGAGACGCGAGAAACTTGCGTGGGAATATGGAATAGTTTGGGTGGTCGAAAGTAGGAAGCTGAAAAAGAGGTTATAGTTAAAGGGATGATAAAGTATGTGTATCGAATAAGTAAGACCAGTAAAGTAACAGTAGACATAAGATAGAAAAAAAGCTGGTGTATATTGCACAATCATTTGTGAATCCTTTAAGATTTATACTAGCATTATATGTTTGACGTTCTGGAAGGAAATAATCATTTATCGATTCAACGAAATATATTATATCATAGCACATAAAGACACAATTTCAGATACTTGGCTGTATATTTTTCAAATTCAATTGCTTCAGCAGTGAAGAAGTTATTTTAATGAGTCTTGATGTCATTCAAACTGGTCTAAGTCAAGTAGCACTGAAGACGAATAAAATTAACTCAAGTTCAAACTTATTTGTTTCGTTACTTGCTAATGTTGTGCTAAATTGACTCATTCCTTGACTTTTAAAGCAGATTAATATCGGAAACACAAAGTCAGCCTCTAAATACTTCTTATCAAGATAGACTTACAGTGCAGACTTAAGTGGTTGATAAAATCTTGACTTTTAAACATCAGAAGAAGAACAATGAAGAGTTGTTAATTTTTAACTAAGATAAATATTGTATTTGGCAGTTGAATGAAAATAAATAAACGAAAAATAATCAAATAGAAGCAGTACGATAGAAAAAAATGATATATTGGATCTTATTAAAATGAGTTATGTCTAAGCCTTGTTATTAGTAATAGCTCGAAAACTATTTTCTATTTGTAATAGCGGTAGAGGAGTATTCAGGATAGAAAGTGGAAGCAATGTCTTGTTTGTGGCTTAAGTCACAATTTTGGATGAAATTCAATAAAAAAAAGTTGTGTACCCATTTGAATAATTACAAAAATATTAGTGTATCATCTTGAGAAATTTTTTTTTCAAGTATGGTCATAACCAAATAACTTGGTTCTTAGGTTTTTGGTAATAATAATTCTTATACAAGTTTTCTCATAATTGTTTCAATACTCTAGAGTTTGTTGGAATAACAGAAGGAGAATATTATTATATTTTGTCTAAAAACACAGTTTAAAATGAATTTAAAGTTCGAAAGTAGTGAAATATATCACAAAAAATTTTAATACCATGCACTAAATATTAACAAACTTCATGATGTCATCTACTTTCTACCAAAAAAATTTTTTTCACTTCTAAATTGAAATTCAGACTTGATTCTTTTATAATTATTAAATTTTTTACGATCCAAAAAAGTATACTGTAAAAACATAATAAAATTGGATTATAATATATGATATAAAATTTTCCTTATCGTTTTAAAATATTTCTAAAAATAATAGCATAAAACGCCATTATACTTTTAAATTTGGGGAAAAAGTCGTTAATTTTGTTTTATATTCTAATTATCAAAGCTCTATTTCATCACATCAGTATTATGTATAATCAACAAAACCAATTCCATAAACTCATCTGTTTTTGATTTTGAAACAAAATCAATGTTGACATTTTGTTGTGCTTGAAAGTTGAAAATTCTTAAAAATTTATCAATACTTACATTATTCAGCACATGAGAAAATGTTAAATGAACAATCTATTCCTCATTACAATATTACTCATTTTACGTATAAGTTCTATTGACATTCCACAAAAATAATAATTGATATTTGTTTGGTGCAAATACCAAGACTTTAGTGAATACTTCGCAGAAGCATATTTACTTTCTTTATTCTCTTTTCTTCTTTCTTTCTTCAAACTTGGAAATTTGATCCATAAGGAGGTTCACTACGAATAATTGAATTACAGTAGTACTTATATCAGAAAAAGTTTCCTCATTAACTACTCGAAGAAGTCATAACTTTTTCAATGAAATCTCATTTGAAATTACGTTTTTTGACGTTAAAAATGCATTCAAGTTTTTTGTTAAACCTTGAAAATAATTTATTATTAATAAATTTTAAATATACCACTGAGTTAGACATGATATATTATTAAGGCTTTACTTACTTGTTACTACCCTCAGGAATACAGAATAGCTGATCAAAGGGCAGCAAGGACCCATCAGCCATCAAAGTCTATCGATTAACTACAATAGTAGACTAGTATTTTTTCACGGGAACAAAAAAAGGAAAACTTGAAACTCGATTGAGGTGTCTTTTTGAGTACCGTAGGTTGAGAGTTTTACCGAGCTTTGAGGGATCGACTTACTTACCACGGTTCATTGCTGTAATATGCAAAGACGAATACTTCTGAACTCAATACTCTAGAATTTACCACATAGTTTGAGATTGAAGATAACAGTATAACAGGCATAGATATGAGCAACTTAACTACATAGTGACTAAATATAGTTCATTACAAGACAACAGATAATATGGAAACGCCTTAAGCAAAGTCAACGTTGAAATAACATTTTGAAGTTGTAGCAAAGTAGATTATCATTGATGAGTTGAAGAAAATCTGCTGACCGTTAACAACGTGGGAATTCGACCAGTTGATTTTGATGGATTTTCTCATGACACAAGAAACTTGTGTTCTTTTTGTAGCTACAGAAAACAGTCATTCAGCTAAGCTGTCGTCAAAATCAATGCTTACTTATTTTTTTTATTCTCCAGCTTTTTTAGAAGTTTCTAACAGTAAATATATACTAATGAAAAGAGGAATTTTCAAACTAGAAGACAGCTTTGTCTTGTTAAAAGGTGGATAAATGTCAAGGCTGAAAAATGTTTTAGGTCTTTTCAAATAATTTCTAAATAATAGTACCAAAAGTAAATCGAAGTAATAAAATATAAGATACTTTAATAACAATCATTACTGATGAAATAATATTCTTTTCAGCTTTAGCGATTTACAAAATTCTATAAATGAAAACAAAATGCTCGATTTTTCGAAATGTTTCTAAAAAATATTTTCTGATTATATTTCTATAAACTTTTGACTTTTAACAGTCATGGCATTCGAAAAAGTAATCTTCAAACAATTTCTCAGATATCATAAGAAAGCAAAAGTTTTTACTTTTACGATAATTTTCAAAAGTAGTTTGATGGTGTCATAATTTTTTTTGCTTTTGAACAAGTATTTACTTTCGAAATATTTATTCCAAAATGGAACATTTCGAGACCAAAATCATAAAAATTCATCTATTTTGCAATTTTTTTTTCTGCTCCAAAAACGACGTGACCGTGAAAGTATACAATTACCTTTCATTGCAATAAACTGCAATATTTGAGATATCTGTTATATAGATGAAGTTTTTAATTATTCTCTCTTACATATATATTTATTTTGATAGTAACAAATTGTTGCTAAAGAATAATAAGTGAAAACGCATTTTGTTTACAGTCAAAATGGAAATAATCAGTCCTGTTGAGTATTTTTTCTATAAATAATTAAAATAAATATTCTTTTTGTACATTTTGGAGTTTATAGTTAATCCTCACATATTATCTTGTCATGTTAAACGAAGTATCTTCAACAGATTGAACTAAAAAAATGAGCAACATTTAGAACCAACTTTTCACCAGTCTTTTTAGTAGACAGAGAAAAGTATTTTTCAAACTTTATACCATTGCATTGAGAAGTACATTAGTTGTAAGTTACATGAAAAAAAATAGTAAAATCGGGAATACGATAAGGTATAAGCAATCTGGGTTAATTTTTAACATTTTATCCCACCTATTATGTTGTTCCATTACACTGAAATGGAAATATCTTTGAATAGATCTCGGAAACGTTACTTTTATGAATAAACATCACATCAGGCTTATAAACATTAGCTTTAATATAACCATTGTAGTTATGTAAGTATCAAATATTACCAAGTGTAATATTGTGTTCATAACTATCAAATTTTTTATTCATGTGTTAAATAAAAATAAAATGAATGTTGAAATAAATGACTTTAATATTTGTTATGTTGAAAAATTTGATCATTTAGATATCAAGCATTATGCTTTATAGCAGCGAATGTTTAAATTTTCACGTTATTTATGACTAACTTTTTTTATTATTGATCATGTCTCAACGTTGATTATTTACGTAGAGTCTATAAATCAAATATCAACACATGTTCGAAATGGATGGATAATTTGAAGAAAATTTCCAAAGAATTTTAATTAAACAATTCATATTCTGAGATGTTGTACACGAAGAAAAATGGTCGGTCGATTTCACATTATAAAAGATGATTTTTACCGATTCGCCAGCTAATATATGGACAACTTCTTCAGGAAGTAAAAGTTACTGATTTCGTTTAGTAATCTTGAAGCTCGAAATTTACTGAGCGAAACAGTAAGCTGGGCATTCGAATCCGTAATTTTCATACAAGAATACAGCCAATATTACTACTGATGTCTATCACATTTACTTTTTTAGTATACAATCAGAATCTACTCATTTTTACATATTACTAATCATATAAATAAATTTGAGTTTGTAAATAAGATGGATACAATTTAGTGGGTCTTTCGATGGGTACACGACAAGAAAAGTAATGGTTAAAAACTACTTAATAAAAATAATTAAAAAATTAGTTGTATCAAATTTTATGTATGTTAAACACCAATTGTACGTATACATTAGTTTAAAGATGGCGGGAAACGTTGAGTTAAACTTGGCAAAGAATATCTACGAGAAAGGGGAGGGAGATTCGAACCCACGACCGCCTAACGCACGCAAATAAACCGATGGTTTAGCCCGCTCGGCTATCCGAAACAATTGAAAATGATTCAAATTTTTACGTATATATGAATTTACTTGATTAGTCAATTTGTCTAACAGA